CCTGGCTATTACAGATAAAATGTTTGTGCTCACCCCAATTTCCTCATACCCAATGTAATAGTCTTCATTGGTGTAGGAGTTGAGAGCTGAGTGGCTTATGGTTGTGTTTTTATGAAGGGCCAGTGGCCTCAAAAAGAAGAATCAAAGAGTTCCTGGTTGTCTGCCTTGTGAACACACAGTAACAAGATGGCCATGAGGAAGTAGGTCTTCATCCAAAGTCTGCCAGTGTCTTCCTCTTGGACATCCCAGCCTCCAAAACTATAAAAAATAAATGTCTCTATTAGAAAACCACCAAGCTTAGGGTATTTTTAATATAGCGCTCAAGTGAGTGAAGACACTAGCATTCAGAGATGCTTGCTATATTGTCACTCTGAAATATGTTTGTCCTGTATTATTTTATTTCCAGGTAGAGCTAAAAGTACTAAGTAAAATCTAGCCATTGTGACAAATTGGTGACCAGTGACTGTTTTATATACCTATCAATATTTGCATTTAAACAAGAGTCTCAATATCTTCCCCTAAAGCAGAAAGCATAGACCTGTGATCTTGTGGCTTGGGGGAGATTTGTCAGTGTTCAGAGAATTTTTTTAATTAAAACTACTGGGAAAGACTATTCCTAACATTTGCTAGATCAAAATCAATAACATTTCCTATAGTACAAAGGGGAGCCCTTTGACAAAGGATTACCTGATCCAAGTGTCTGTAATGCTGAAGTTATGCAACCCCAGCCCTGCCCCATCCCTAAAAGCTAGGACATTTGAAGGTCTGTCAGTGATGAAGTGATAAAGTCACTTGAGAAGAAGGCAAAGGGAATCTAGAATTTCTCATCTCATAACACAGATCTAGGCTGAATTTGCAGTTACCTAAGGTCAACCTCTGTGCAGAGATTTTTAGAAACTCAGAGAAGAAAAACAGCTCATTCAGTTTTCCCACCACAATGAACAAAATACCAGAGGGGACCATTTAAGGGAGAGATGATTGATTTTCCTTGAGGAGTCAGAGATGTTAGACCTCTGTTGCTTTGTCCCATGTGTTTGGGGCAAAGCATTGTGGCAGCAAGAGTATGAAATAGGTTCTTCTTAGTGTGGACGAGAGAGAGAGCTGAACAGGAAGGAGTCAGGGATGATATAGCCCCCGAAGTCCTGCCCCTAGTGACTTAATCCATCTGGCATCTTCCTCTCAATTTCTACAATTTATCACAATATTGCCACCAACTGGGAAAAAACACATAAAAATAAGCCTGTGTAGTACATTTTACATCAAACTATGACATTAATACCATTAAGATTTGATACTGTTTTTGCCTGATACTTCTAACTGTGTCTCCTGAGTATATCAAGAATAAGTATATATTCCACATATTTTTCCATACATTTGCAGACACATGCAATTTTCCTTCTTATACTCAACATTGCCAAGGATTTCAAGCCTTTCTTACTGCTTTAGACATTATGGTTTTGATAGTTTCGCTCACAATGTTGAAGTTAAATGCCAAGGGCTGGGATAGAAGTTTGCATTAAAGTACTTGCCTCAAATATGCAAATCCTGGGTTTCTCTTCCCAGTACTGCAAAAATAAATATGTTGATAAATTGAATGATGACTTCATACTAAGTCCTGAGAAGCTTCTCATCATTCATTATAAATTCCAAGTTCTGTTTGTAATTGTATTTATTTGTTTGAATATATTTAAAATATGTGGCTTATCTCATCATGTAAGTTTCAGGTACAAATAATCAACAAGACATTTTCTAGCACCAAAATGTCATTGGGATGGTCCTCTAGGCTCCAACAAATGACCAGCCCATCTTGGAGTGAGAATTATTCAAAAAGGTCCACCCACTCTTCATTTTTCCACTGACACATGAAAGGCCTTTTTGATTTGGAGGTTTTGCAGGCCAGAGAAGCAGTGTCTCCTGTCTTATCTATTAGCCCATCTATCTTATCAGAAAGAATCATTAAGCTAGCATGTGATGACCTATTCTTAGGAAATTCATCATAGTTTCAATAGAGCAAAATCCTTGCTCATTGATCAAATTCACCAACATTTGATAAAAACTGTAGATTTTACTATAGACCAATCAATCTTGTGTTCTGTTGATTCCAGAATAAAGCAAGCCTACTCTCAAACATTAAACATTCTCTTCCTGCTCTACTGTCCTGGAACTTCTGTGCATCAGCAAGCACAATCGAGGGTAGAGACGTGGATAGTGGCATCTCAGCTCCTGGATTTCAACCATTCCTTCTCTAATTTTGTGATGTGTGAGCTCAGCAAGTGAGACTGCTAATACTGATTATCAGCTTGCTAAGATCTAGAAGACAGGTTCTCAACCCCATTGGAGATCAAATGACCTTCTCACAAGGGTGAGGTAAGACCATCAGGAAACATAGATATTTACATAATTATTCATAACAAGAGCAAAAATTACATTTATGAAGTAGCAGCAAAAATAATTTCATGGTTGGGGATCACCATGTGAGGAATTGTGTTAAAGGGTTTCAGCATTAGAAAGATTGAGAAACATTGGTCTAGAATCACTTAGGAAACACATCTCTGGTCATGTCCATGGGGGAGTTTCTGAATTGTGTTGAGATGGGAGACCCCAAACTATCAGTGGCATCATTCCTTATACTAGTTTACCTGATAGACTAGAAAGGAGAGAGTATTGGGGAACATCAGCATTCATCACTGTCTGCTTCCTGGCCAGGAACACACTGTGACCAGTGGCCTCATGCTCATGATGACACTTCTTCCTGTCTTCCTTTCATGATGAACTGCACCCTTGACCTGTGAGCTAAAATTAACCCCTCTCTCTTTAAGTTGTTTTTGTCAGATATTTCATCACAGAATGAAAAAAAAATCACTACTACAGTCATTTCCTTAACTTCTCTGTTCCAATATTCTTACCCCTAGACTGGGACTAACATAATTACATGGGCTGTGAGGATTAATTGTTTTGCTAGCATTTGGGAAGCGTCTGGCATACAGCTGTGTTCAGGGCCTGCATTGTTAATTAAAGAGGATACATTACACACCATTACCTCAGTTCAAGTTACTGAAATCACAAGTCTACACTCTGCTATGGCCAAATCTCACAGAAGAATATTGCACTATTTTATCCCCTTTCTTGGTTTTCAGCTTCATCTTGATCAAGAATTCCTTGTTTTGTGGCATTTAAAGATAATCTACTTCAGTAGAAAATATGTCAGCAAAATAGACATTGAATTCCTCCAATCTCTCATGTTCTATTAAAATTGCACCATCTGTTGTCTCTATGGGCTCAGTTCCATCCTTGGTATTATTAGACTACATGTTTAATCTGTTGAAATATATGAAGAGAAAGGAGAGAGTATGAGAAAATAATACACAAAATCTTTGACTAAGCAGAAACAAAAGATATATCTATACGTAACTGCTGAATAATCACTTTCTTGACAATGTATTTTAATGAATTTACATGGCTGATTTTTCTTATTAATTTGTAGTGATGAGTAACAAGAGGGGACAACTTGACTGGAATCCTTTCTTTTCCTAAACAAAAACACTTGCTATTATGTAATTTATGATCACATATTTTGGAGTTTTACTCTTAACCAGTAAATCTCTCATTCTGTTTACTAAGTAAAGCATTCTATTAGCAAGACACATACAGAGGCAGAAGCCAGCTCCATATATTACAGACTGCCTTTCATCACAAGCATGTTGCTGGGCCAGGCTAAATATCTCCTAGAACTGGTATAAATAGTTATGTATATATATTTTGAATGCTAAACTGACAAGAATCATTGAAAACATTTTTATAGACTGTTTTTGTTATGCATGTCTTATCCCTTTATATAATTAAGAAATTTTTTGAAACTTCAAAGGAGACAGTTGAGAACTCTAAGTTATATTAACTCAAAAATGGTTGAGAATTCTAAATTACACTGAGTTCAAAAAGTAACAAAAGTTTAAGAAAATAGTTTCAGAAAATAGAATTGGATCAAGCCAGGATTTTATCTCTAAAACATTTAGTAGCAGACTTTTCTTCCTGTTGTACTGCCAAGAAATGGACAGAGTGGTTAATTCTTTCTTTGTAATTAAAACACACATGTGAATGGCAAGCTCCTTAACACACACCCATCTCTACCTCCACAGTCTTGATTGCTACTTTATCGAAATACAAATATTCCTCACAGGAGCCCAGCAAGACTAAAGTTTCCTTTAGACTGATTACTGGCATAAACATGGATTCTCTCACTCAACAACTGTTTCCAACTTGGTTCAGAGCCATGATCTTTCCCTCAGGCATCACAATGTGGGATGCCCTTCAAAAATACTAGAGACCATGGAAAACATATGGACAATTTTCATTATGTATTAAAATGATCAGGAAGGGCAGATGTGAGTGGAGAGAGTATTTCCTACATGTTTTTCCAGATGAGAATGTTTTTCCAGGGTCCACAACTTGACTTAGGAGGCAACACCTTAGAAACATACTTAGCATTATCATATTATGCATATAGATTAATGTGTTGTGCCTGTAGGTTAAAGAAATGCTACAAACTCATCATAACAAGCATTATGGTTCAAATGTAAAATGTCTGCCATTGACACTTAGGTTTGAACTTTTGGTTTCCAGGTTGTGGCATTGTTTGGGGAGGCTATAAAACATCTGGGACCATGGTCTAACTGTAAGAAGGGGTTTCTGGAAACAGGGCTTGAGGGTGATGTTCACTTCTAGTTCTCATCTAAGTTTTCCCTTTTCTGATATGAACACATATCACTACCATCACTGGATCAGAGATCATGAGGTAAAATAATATTCTCTTCATTATGTTGAGACTATGTGCTAAAATTTTAGTTTAATTTAATGAAGTTTAATGTTCCACTTGTGGCTAGTAACTGCACTTTTCATAGTGTGAAGTTTAAGGAGACAGGGATAAAAATCATAGTGTGAGCTCCAGACTCAGACACCTCAAGTTCACACATCATCCTCTCTATGTGGTCCTTAGGCTTTTGGTGGAGTTATGTTAATTCTTGTCACATGCAAGGCAGATCTGATAAAATGACATTAATGCTTACATTATTAACTAAAGTGACTTTCAGAGCTCACACTGCTTCACAGCTTATGAAGAAAAAAACAGATAGACCTCTAAGAAAGTCCAGAATAGCTACACACAATAGGTAAAAGCATAAATATAAAAGACCATCTAAAAAGAGCTTGTGGGTATATGTGACTACATTTAAACTTAAAGCAATATTTCATCTTTCTCAATTAGAAGGGATACTGAATCATAATAGCTAGGCTCAAGACAGAGAGACAGGCAATATACATTCAAGCCCCACCAGGGAAAGGAAGCCCTTGCCATCCAGTTTTAAGAGGATCTCTGGTCACCAAGACACACTTTTCCATGTAAGACTACAGGTCTCACCTGTCCTAAACACATTACCAGGGCAATCATTCCTATTCCAACAAAGGTCCCCAAGGAACCTTCAAAGCCCAAGTAGTTATATTCATACTGAGAGAATTCTACAAATGCCATTTTCTGCCTATCTTCATTTCCAGCAGTGAAAATTTATTACATAAGTAAATAATAAATGAGTACTTTTTTAATAATGTTTTTCTTCTTGGTAAGCTTAGTTCCAGGAGGAGCCCTCTATTCATACCCACCAGTGTTCCATATTCCATGCACCAGGAGGTGCATGTGCAAACCTCCATTATAAGGTAAACTTGTCATCTGGCTGCTCTCCGCTTGCTATGCCTTCTGATGGAGTGAATTATTTCAGGAATTGGTACCCATGCAAAAGGTGACTCTCCAAGCCATACATCAGACCTCAGTGCTTTTTCCTAAGATGATCATCCGGTATCTATAGCAGTAGCCTCAAAATTAGAGATTTCCTACCAGAGATTGTACCTATATTTTTTAACAGGAAACGCTCTATGCTGTTTCAGAAGTTATGAAAAACTAGATCATAGAACATCATGGAAAAAATCCACTAGATATATAGGCCAGGTAGAGTGTGGGCCTTGCACACTGTGCTCCAGAACTTCCAGGAAGAAAGAGGAACACGAGAATGAGGAAGATGAGAAAATGAAATCTCTGAAGGGCAGATTAATCACCCCTTAGAAGCACGAATAGTCTTTTACAGAAGAAAATTAACAAAAAGAGGAACAAAAAAAGTGAATCAAAGAAGGACAAAGAGAATGTCTCAAAGAAAGGTTCATAGTGTATGAAGCAGGTCCTTTGAAGAAATACCTGACTTCCCTCCCTTTAGATTGTGTAAGCCCATAGTCCTTCCAGAATCTCGTAAAGAAAAAAAGTAGACATTTTACGGTTTGGGCAGGAGGAGGATGTGTTTCCATCTACAAGGTAGATAAAATGTTAAGTGCATAAAAGAAAAGTAATTGCATAAATTGGTTGAATGGACCACAATATAACTTTACCAAATTAGTACTAAATGTAAAATGATTGGCTCAGTGTCTAGCACATAACTGTTCAGGAACAGAGAGCCAAGGCAACACAGCCAACAGAAAGCACAACCATTGAGCATACAGAACTGCAAGCTACCAGAAAGTTATTTCACCAGCAAAGACCTCAGAATTTGCAAGTTTCTCATACTGTATATTAAATATTTCTGCACAGTTTCTCAAGCCAATCTAGAAATCAGAAAAGAGTAATAGTATAATTACTCCTGGTTTTTTCATGAGAAAAATGAAGCATGGAGAAAAATGTGAATTATGACATTGACACTTAGGTTATCAATAGAATTTTATGTGGCAGATTTCCGTCTAATGGAAAATTTCAAGTTGCCAAACAGTTGTGTACTGTGTGACTTGGTCTCGATAGATAACAAATACCCATGTACAACAGACAAAAGTGTGCATTAACATTTTTTTGCTTTTATTTTTCTTTTTTAATTAATAGTTTAAGAAATTAAAGAAAAAATGGGAGATATATATCATGTGAATTTATAACCCATTTAAGTGTTTACTTTAAGTGTTCTGACATTTTTAACATGGGACATAAATGGTGGGGCCCTCCCAAGGAGAACAGGACATTTACAAAGTAATACTTACAAACTTAAACATCAATAATGAGTGTGTGAGATGCGGGCATGTGTTCCTTGGATTAGAACCTGATACAGTTGGCCTAGAAAGAGTCTTTGGAATGTGAAAATTTGCTATACAAGTTGTGTCTACAAATTCATGAGGTTGGTTGTTTCTTCATTTTACAGAGCTAATGTGACAAACTAGTCCATGTAAAGCTAGTTTACATTACTCTCCTTGAAGTATAAAGAGTACTCTTTTCCTGTATTCAATAACTGACTTCGATCCTGTTTGACTTCATGACCATTTGCTCTATCCTCAATTGCAATACTATTATTGCCGCAAAACCTTCTTTATGTTAAGATAACTTATTTCCTTCCTATATTTCTTCCTTCCTTATTTCCTTTTCTCTTAAACGTTATTGTCTAAATATGTGCCATCAGCTAGCAAGTAGCCACAGAACACAGCTGTATGTATAGTATATTAAAGGGAATTAAGGTTTTGCTGCAAGAATCTTCCAAAACAAATGCATGTGCTCTAAATTTTGATTGTCTTGAATTGACTATAATACACAGGCATATAAGCTCTTCCTAGCCCAGGATTCCAATCTGAATTTCTTTGTGAATTGTCTGCATACAGAAAATGTCTGGTGGGTTTGTAATTTCACATTTCTATCTGTTTTGCAAGGTAAACAACTGATTTCAGTCAGTGTGACATTAAGTGGCTTTTCATGTCAATGAAATATTGATACATTCAATAATCTCCAGCTAAAACAAGGCATCCTGGGCCTTCATTCACCCAATCTAAAAATCTTGTCAATAATTTTGCTGGCATGACAATCACACAGCCAAATAGTGATTTTTCTAAGTGTTACATTGGAAGCAGAAGCTTATCTTTATCAAAATGTCACTTCTGAAAATATCTTCTTTAAGATGACAATGCTGTAAACAGCAATCTCCACACTGACAATTAAGCATAATTAAATGCTAGACTTCTCCTAGAACCTCCTTCATTCTCGAGAATTTTATTTTTCTGGACTGAGTTCAGTTTCTCTCTCAAGTACATCTTGTTCTTGTCAGGAGAAAATGAAGCTGCCAACTGAAAAAAAAAACTATTAAGTGAATTCAAAAGCATATTCAGCCATATGATGAACCCCAATGATGCTAAAGACCTTTTCTCTAAACAGGGCATGGAGATAACAAGCAGCAGGGAAGTGCAGTGGTGTGTGCACATGGGACCATAAAGAACAGAAGGAGTCCTGAAACATCTGTGCTCAAGACAGCGGGGGAGGTTCTCCCTCTTTTTCTGCAGAGGGACCAACACTGGTCACATTTTGCTTTAGTTGAACATTTTAATACATTTTTGTGTGGAAATAAATCAGTAAGTTGAAGGAGGAATCTGATCATGTTTACATGTCGGGGAAAGTGAAAGCCAAGGTGGCCGTGGAAGAAGCCTGCTGATTTTAATGTAGTACCAAAACATTCATGTGCTGAAAACTTAATTCCCAAATCAGATGCTGATAGTTTTTGGAGGCCCAAACTTTAGGAGGTACTTTGGATTAGATGAAATTACAGGGCCCCTTGTGATATCATTATTGGCTTAAGAAGGGGCTGGGAGACCTGCGCGGACACGCTTGCGATATGATGGCCCTCTGACGTTATGATGCAGCAGGAAGGTGTTCGAACACTAACATCATACTCTAGGAATTCCCAGGCCCCTGGGAACTATGTCATCCCTTCTAGTTACTTGGAATCACATGATTGGTAAAAGCAACAGAAAACAGACTAATAGAAGGACAAATGAATTTGCAGCACGAGCAAGAATGGGACCAAAATCAGAAAGATAAACAAGAATAGTATCTAGTAAGGATAGTCAAGGTCACAATACCATGAATTTGATCTCACTCAATGCAGCTATGAAGGGGCAGGCAGAGGCAGATGCAGGCTCAACTTTATGGTCAGGTTAACTCAGCTTCAGAAATGGGAAACTCTATTATATAATCTGCAGGGAGGTAGGTCCTTCCTGACATCCTATTCAGAAAAGGACCTGTTCTTACAAACAGAAATGGCGTAGCCTTAGGAAAGACACTTGAAGTAACTCTGATGTCTTAGCTATGGTTTCTATTGCTGTAACAAAACGTCAGGAACAAAGAGCAGATTGGGAAGAAAAGAGTTTATTTGGTTTATACTTCAGCATTGCTGTTCCTCATTGAAGGGAATCAGGACAGGAACTCAAAACAGGGCAAGATCCCAGAAGCAGGAGCTGATGCAGAGACCATGGAGGAGAGCTCCTTGCTGGTTTACTTCCCATGACTTCCTCAGTTCACCTTCTTATAGAACCCAGGACCAGCAGCCCAGGGATGGCTCCACCCACCATGGGCTAAGCCCTTCCCCCATTGATCACTAAATGAGAAAATGCCTTACAGCTGGGTCTCAAGGAGGATTTTCCTCAACTGAGGCTCCTTCCTCTCTGATGACTCTAGCTTGTGTGGAGTTGACACACAAAACCAGTACATCTGGAATTTCTCAGAGATACAAAGTCTTTCACTTTCAAACTGATAATACATTCTTTTTTTTCTCTCTTAAAAGAACAAAGTGATAAGCTATCACGGACTAATTTCTGCAATGCCCAATTTTAATTGCTGGTTTATAAGATGTACATGTATTGTCAATATGAAAACATACATTTAAATTGTGCTCATTTTGTACATATAATGAGCCTTCTTTCATTAAAATCCAAAGGGACTTACCTGGAAAAGCACTTGAGAATATGTAAGAAATTATATAAATGTTTGATTCTCCATTTCCCCTTTTCATCTCAAAGATAAAGGTTACTTTTTTGAAAGATATAACATTAGTTTTGTGATCTTAGCTGGATGTCCTTAACAGTGACCTTAATACCACGATCTAGACTTTAAATTTCCTTACAACACAGGCATCACAGGCTTTCACTCATTTACCTCCTAACTTGTTTGTTTTCCAGGCATGTTATTTAAGATGTTTTGGTTGGAAAACACAGAAAACCTAGTGTGACTAGCTTAAGAAAGAAGATGTATTGACTTTTTTTAGCTAGAAAGTCCCCAATTTGTCCAGCCTGCAGGTTAGTTAATAGTAAAGTCAATGATGCTACCAACACAGTTGTTTCTGGATAGCTAACCATAGATTTCATCCTAAAATAGACTCCCTCAAGAAAAAAAAATAGACTCTCTCCTCTGTTCTAGGAGAAACCTAAATTGAACCCTACCACCAACAATACCAGGAAGGTAAACTCAAATTATTACCATTCAATCATATGGTGTGGAAAATTGAGATTATTTTAATGTGAGAAGTTTTATTGGGGGAAAGAAAAGGAGTGGGCATAAGGAGGGGAGAGAGAAAGAAAGAGAAACAGAGGGGAGAGAGAGACAGAAAAATTGAGATTTTTTAAAAAATAACTTAAATGGATTAATTTTTTTTTTTTTTTGGCTTTCAAGACAGGGTTTCTCTATGTAGCTTTGGAGCCTATCCTGGCACTCGCTCTGGAGTCCAGGCTGGCCTCGAACTCACAGAGATCCA